AACCAAGGCATAGAGAGGAAAAGCATCTTGCCCAAGTTCAAACAGCTGCTGAATCCTGAAGTCAAAGAAGCTGGGGGAGGGGAGCTCAGACCAAGGAAACGAGGCTGTGACTACCAGGGGTGACGTCAGGGCTGAGCTGTGGAGTGGTCGACTGCTTTACTGGACAGCTCAGGAAGGCAGCAGAGCTACCGAAGCGCCATATCACAGGCAGGGACACGAAAGCCACACGAAGAAACAGAACCTGGGGCCCGGGGCAGGACTGGCTATGAGCCACCTCGTCCCTCTCTGGTGTTGAGGGCCAACCTAAGACACACGATGGTGAATCTGAGCTCAGCGTCTGGGAAGTGACAAGCCCTTGTGGGGGAGGTGGCCTGAGCCCCAGGCCACCCAATTCAAACAGTGAGTCTTGGTCAGGAGGTCAAAGTTCAGAGTTGACTTTCTAGAAAAAGAAACAGCTCTCCACTGAGTCATCTGCTCTCTCTTATGCAGCCAAGGGGCACAGCTTTCAAGAGAATCAAACCCTATGAGTCCAACTGGCCCATCCTATAAATAACCACCATTCAAAATCCCCACAAGTAAATGGCATCGCAGGCCTAAGGCCTGATGGGTCCCATCCCTCCCAACTCAGCTTCCATCCCCATCTCTTGCTGTACCCAGCACACGGATGTCCCCAACATACCCAGCGGCCTGCCCCAGGGTCTTGCCTCACCCTGGGAAATCCTGCCTCCCTGTCTTTCAGGTCTTAGTGGTCTCTCCAGGGACCTGCAGGCTCAGAGCAGCCGCTCCGTGCCGTTCCTGGCCCATGTCTTGGCGACTGCATTTCCTTCTTCACGTTTGTCCCTTTCTGTATTCGTGGATGGATAGGAGCCGAGTTCCTGACAGCTCATGCAGCTCTTAGCTCAGTCCCTGCGACGTCGTAGGACCTCCGTCAATATTGGCAGCACAAAGGAAGGAATGGAAGAACAAATCCACAAACTAGAAAGAGCCAGAACCGAAGCAGAACCACCTCCCAGCAGTGGATTTTTAAAAGAAAGAAAGGTGGGGGGTGGGGGGAAGACCCATAAAGAACTGAAATTCACTGATGAAACCAGAGCAGCCTTCGCCTCTGGGCTGAGGTACCAAAGAGAGGGCTGTAGCCCACCTCCCGTCTCTCCCAGCTGAGCCAGCAGGGTGGGGCGCACAACCAGCCAAGTTTGCGAGTTAGATCAGAGCCCTGTCTCTCTGCTCACATGAATGTTCCATGTAACCAAGTTTTAAACCCCAAACATCCTCTAAGATGTTGCTTTGGATGAAATGCTTATKGAACCGTACACCACACTCTTCACACAGGACACTGACCATCATTTGACTCTTCTTGATGGTTTGGGGTCAGGAGACTCCCTGATCACATCACCCTCCTACAGCCCAGGGAGGCCACAGTGTGGTGTGTGGCATCGTGGGCTCCCACACGCTCTGGCCCCCGACCRCCGTGCTGTGGTTCTGTGTGTAGTATTGCTTTCCGTCTCCCTGCGGGCTGGCAATCGCCCTTCCCACTGCCCACTGTTCCACGGCCTCCGCGGACCCTTGACAGCCTCTCCCAAGAACAGACCTGGGAGGGCTATGAACCAAGAGTCAGCGGGAGCTGAACCCAAGCCAGAGGCCTTGAGCAGGAGGCAGAGGCCCCGGGCCTCAGGGAGGCTTTTCCCACCCGAGAGGTTGCAGCTGTGCCCCACAAAGCCATGCTACTCCACAGCAGCCCCRGAGCAGCCGGGGGCACCTGGGGCTCCCCTGGCCAGGGGGCTAGGAGCCCTGTGAAGCCGAGCAGTGCTCTGTGAACTCCTGGGCCCCAGCCGTTTCCCACACCTTCCGTCTCCTTCACTTGGGAAAACAGGGCCCTCGAGGGAGCCTCCGGGAAAAAAGAGTCGCAGACCGTGCTGAGGCGCCTTCTCCCAGGTGGCAGCCAGGCCCCCGAGAGGCGGTTTCCCAAAGTGAAACAGAACCCAGAGGCCCTTCCCAGGGACTTGCTGGGAATTCCCCATCAGCCCCCTGCACCCGCGGATTCCGCACCCGCGGATTCCGCACCCTCGGATTCAACCAACCGCAGATCAAAAATATTCAGAAAAACAAAAACGCATCTGTGCCAGACACGTGCAGGCTCCTCCTCCTTGTCCTTCCTCCCTAAGAGACACAGCGTGACAGTGATTCACACATTCGCTGTTATAAGTGACCTAGAGATGACTCAGCGCATCCAGGAAGATGTGTGCAGTGAACGCAAACACACACCATGGCCATCAGGGACCTGAGCACATGGGTCCTGGTACCCCAGGGGTCCTGGAGCAGCACCAGCTGTGCCTTAGGAGGACGGTTAGTGCCTCTTTCTCCCTCCCAGGTAGATCTTTTTTTTGGTGCTGGGGATTGAACCCAGGGCCTGTGCATGCCAGGCAAGCACTCTACCCACTGAGCTCTACCCCCAGCCTCCAGGTAAATCATTTTGAACCAGAGGGTGTGAGTGAACTTTCTTTACATTCAATAGTTGAACCGCATGACACCACGTTCGTTCTGCAGTGCACATTTGTGGATCTATATGGGGGAAAAAGATGGACCGTCTAGAGGGCAAGTGTCATCTAGTCGTCATCTCCAGGTATGGAGCCACGACAGGGTTAGTGTCCCGTTTCTTTGGTTGAGCATGCATGAGTTATGTAATTAGGTAGATGAAAGTTATTTTTTCCAAGCTTTTCTTTGGCCTGCAATTCCAGCAACTCRAGCAGGAGGATCACACGTCTAAGGCAAGCCTCAGCTACTTAGCAACACCATCTTGAACCCCCCAAAAAAGAACATTTTAAAGAGGGTTGGGGGTATGGCTTGTGGCTTGGTGGTAGAGGACCTCTGGGTTCCATCCCAAGTACCACAAAATGAAGAGTTGAAAAAAATCCTCTCTCCCCTGTGTTCCTCTTTTCTGTGACAGCTGAGCCCCCAGTGGCCGCCTCTACTGGGGTGTGTGGGGGTCACAGGGCTCCTCTGGACGTCTCCCAGGAGAGCTGGATATCTGGGAGCCCGGGTGCCACCGCAGAGTCCCATCAGCCCCTCTCCTCTTGCTCCTGCCTTGCTCAGCCCGTGCCCCAGAGCCTTTCCACCTGCTCCGCTCCAGGGCCTCAGGGGCCTCTGAGCAGCAATGAGAGGCTGCCCAGGAGCTGGGAGACCAACACAGGCCTTGGAAGGCAGGTGGTGAGAGTGAATCCAGCCTCCGGCACCTTCTACTGCTCAAGTGACGTTCAACTGACTGACTCTTGGTTCTCCCTGAGCCTTGCTCTTCTCATCAGCAAAATGGAAACAATACTTCTCACTGGAGCTTAGATGAGCCGATACTTGTCAAGTGAGGCACCAGGCTCAAGGGACAGCTCCCTAAATCACAGGTACTGCTATTATTAAGAATATCTAGAACACAGGGGCCAGCCSAGGTGCTCAACCCTGGCTGCTCTTTAAAGCACTTTAGGAATAGCATTTGCCTGTAATCCCAGTGACTCAGGAGGCTGAGGCAGGAGGATCCAAAGTTTGAGGCTAACCTCAACAATGTACCAAGACCCTGTCTSAAAATAAAWAAAAAAATTACAAAGGGCTGGAGATGTAGGTCAGTGGCACAGCCTTTGGGTTCAATCCCTAATACCCGCCCCCCCCCACACACATACAAATTAATTATAACAAAATAAAAAATAAAGTACTCTAGGAAGCTCATAAAAGATGCTGAGGTCCAGAGTGGGGCGGATATTTCCRTGTGGCCACAGTACATTGCACTTCCTTTCCCTCCACAGATTCATGTCCACAGCATCCTTCCCAAAGGCCTCAAACYGCCATCTCCAGGAGGCCCTCAATAAGACTCCCAGGAGGACTGGAATTTTTTCAACACTCCAATCTGATTCAAAATCTGTAAGGAATTTACACTTAGCATTGTGTCAACTGGAAAACATTTTCAAATGACTTCTTATATTTTTATTTTCTTCCTGTGAAAGGGCTCTGGGCACACACCACATGGTCAAAAAAGGCCAAGCAACAACACAGGGTCCATGGTTCTCAAAGTGTAGCCCCAGGCTGCAGCATGAACTCACCCTGGGGACTCATGGGGAGCTGTCCCTGCCTTTGGAACCCTCATAGCTGCATGCTAACCGGGGGCGGGGGGCGGAGGGTGGGTGTGCGTCTGTTTTAACACATCCTTCAGGTGGTTCTGGGCTTGCTTGACTGCGAGGACTGTGCTGAGCTAAGCTGGAAGCTGGTCCCCACCCTCGCTGCCAGGGAAGACAGACCTTTTCTTCCTCAGCGAGGATGGGGCCAGCAGGAGTGTGAAACTGGTCTGTCCCTGGTGTGGTTAGAACACTTCAGAGTAAGGAAGCATGATATGAACAGTCTCACCTGTGGATTCCTAGCTACAATCCCATCCCCTTATCTATTACCACTTAGATTTCTTRCAAAAAAAAATCTGCCAGGACACTTAAAGTTTACCCATTTACAGGTCCGTTTTTAAGCCTAATTTTTCCTGTTTTAAGTGGAAATATGCTGCCAAATGTCCACTTTGTCATTATGACCCAGGAGCTACATTCTAAACCAGCTTACAGCACTGGGCCATCGGCAGTTTGGATGTTTGCACAACAACATCAGCAGGTGCCCTGCCACTTGGAGGCTCTGCACTTGCCTTCCAGGTGTCCCCGTTTGTCCTGTCGCAGTTACCACCTGCTGCTTGTTCAGTTGGGTTCCTCAAACAGCCCTAGCCTCCCTTCTCATCTGGGTTGAGGAGGCACAGAAAACCCTGCTGGTTCAAACAGTGTGCAGACTAAGAGGAAACAGAGCTCGAGGGAGCGTCCCACGGATCAGTCCTGACCCTTCACCAGCCAGGGCCACTCGGGGTGCCTCAGCCTGCCCAAGGGGATGAGAGTTTCCAGGGAGCCTGACGTTTGGTGCTGCACTGAATCCTCCAGCCTGGATTGAATGTGGGTTTTCAAACCAAGGTGCCGTCAGGGAAGTCGGATTACCTGGTCCTGGAGTTTCTGGAACATCAGAGGGTGTGGTTCTTCTAGGATCTTCTCGTTGAGCCGAGACTGCCCCTCCACGTTGACTTGGGATGAGGCCTTGTTGGACAGAAAGGTCACGTAGATCTCCCTGGCCTTTTCCTGCATCTGGAGGAGATAGAGGGGGCTGTCCGTTACCTGCAGACACAGCCCTTCCCTGCCTGAGCCCCTACTCAGCCCTATGGCCAGGCTCAGAGCCGCTGCAGACTTGGGAGCTCTAGCTGCCACTCGGGACCCCCAGGTGGGCTCATGGCCGTCCAGCCCCACGCTCCACCCTACTTGGGTGTCTGTGGCCGCATCTCCAACCATTCAGAAATGACGAGAAAATACCCTGACCCAGAGTGAGCCCTCACTACCCTTCAGGACCTGTGAGACATCCTCCAAATTAAGGGCTCCTGGGGATCTTATGAAGTCACAAGAAGGAATGAAGCACTGACATATGCTCCAATGAACAAATAAACCTTGAAAACATTACGCTAAGTGAAAGAAACCAGATACAGGAGGATAGGCACCATATGATTCCATTCACGTGAACTGTGCAGAACAGGTGAATCCAGAGACAGAAAGATTAGTGGTGACCACGTGTTGGGAGAAGGAAGAAAGAGAGAGAAGACCGCTTGATGAGAATGGTGTTTCTGTCTGGTGATAAAAGAGAGTTCTGGAACTACACAGTGGTGACACTAGTACAACACTACGAATGTACTCAATTCCACTGAGGTGTACCCTTTAAATGTTTTGAAAGGTATAGTGAGACACTGAAAATGGTCAAAATGGTGAGCTTCCTACGAGGTATATTTTACCACAAGAAAAGAAGTCAAGGGCCGAGGGTGTCRCTCAGTGGTACAGCACGTGCTTAATATGCGTGAGCCCTGGGTTTAATCCCCAGCACTGAAATAAGGAGGTCAAGGCAAACCTAGTTCACATGCCCACCAGGGATCCAGCCAGCACCTGCTCTATAGGGTACAGACACCTTCTAGGTGACTCCCATTTCCTCAGTTCCCTGAACACCCAGCAAAGTGCCATTTCCCGTAAGCCCCTCTCCTGATGAGGACAGGGCCAGGACAGCGAGTGCAGCAGGCTCAGGACACGGCTCCAAAGCCTTCAGTTCCACCCAGTTCCCTGCCCAGAAGCACAGTGACCTCTGCAGGTGCAGCCTGTCGTCCTCCGGGACAGGCTGTGCTGGCTCACGGCCCCCCTGAAGCCCCAGTGCAGCCTGCCAGGCAGCCGAGCCCTGAGGAGTCAGGCAGCGGAGACGACAAGATGCCCACCCATCAGCACGGCGGCTGCACCCAAACCCAGCTGGGGTGGGAGTGGAACGTACCCCCATGGGAAGGAGCCCGGCTTCGCGGTGAGCACTTTGTCTTCAAAACACTGTGCCTCGTGCTGGGGCTGCAGACCCGCGGACTTCCCCTGAGAGGTCGATTTTCTTTCAGAGAAAGGAGACTTCCTGTGCCCCTGCCTCACCTGCAGCATTTCTCCAAACATCACACGGAAGTCACACCACACCCTACGGACAAGGCCCCCAGAAGGGGCTCTGAACTGCAGCCTCTCAGCTCCGCTTTGCCGAGGGAGGCCAGGGGGCTGGGGGGGCGGCCTGGAAACCCGCCTTTCTCTCCAGAGAGCCTTCTGGGGCTCTGAGTACGCTGTGCAGCTTGGCTTAGAAAACTCTAGGCTCTGAAAACCTTCTGGTTATGGAAACCACTCGAAGTCTTCTAAAACCGATGCTTGAAAACAGGGGGAAAGAACTTTTGTGGTTTCAGAGACTAGAAGACCCCACTAGGCTGCGGCTTGACCAGGGTCCCCTGGGAGAGCGAGCCTCGCCAGTGCTTACGGGAAGACGGCCTGGGTGGGGGTCGACCCCCCCAAGTCCCGGAGTCTGTTCTTTCTTGACTATCAACATAAACAACCAGTTGATGTCAAACTCAGGGACAAGGAGCCTCTTAAGGTAAATATGGATGTTCCAAGGACAGGTCTGGGGATCATCAGCGAGGCCCAGGGGAGCAGCACTTTGTACTCTGCACCTCTCAAAGACCCATCTGCTCTCCGGAGCCACGAGTCTTCCTCCCACCACCCCCTGCCCTGTCAGGAAGGAACCTTTTTGGAAAACCACTTCCTGTTTTACAGCTCCTTCACAAAAGTAGAATTTCAGCCTGTCAGATCAGCTAACTCCATGCAGGGCCCTGTGGGCAGAGGGCCTCCCCTTCCCTAGAACACTCACACACACACCACCGCACACACATGCACACGTGCGCACACACTGCCCACGGGAATCCAGGCTCTCTTAAGTAGTTCAAGAAAGAACCGGGTCATGAGCGGCCTGAGATTGAGGTGGGGGCAGCGGGCCACAGGGCAGGAGACAGGTGGCAGGCCTGCAGGTATTTAAACTCCAGGACCCAGACTCCCCTCTCCCACCAGCCGCCCCTCCTAGGTCTCAGGGGGTCCTGGACCTGCCTCAGGCCTGCCCCCCATCACATGCCCTGAGGAATGGCCGAGCAGCAGAGCTTATCTGAGCCAGGATAGGAAGCATGACCGAAAAGGGAAGCCCCGAGACCGCCGACCACAAGCCGGTCACGGGAAGGCCTGCTGTCCAGACCGAGAACACTGAACAAAAAAGAAGAACCAGTCACTTGAGCTATCTTGGTACATTTTTCCAGAGCTTTGTTAACCCTATTCTGGCTGCTGTTAGGATAGGAAGAGGACAGCCATCCCTGGGGGGGTCGATTTGGGGTCTGTGATCTGAAAAAGAGGCCAGCACTTCTCGTCCATGGCCCTAGACACGCCAGATCACAGCCTGGACAGGGTCTCTCGCTCCCTGAGGAGACCTAGTGTGCCCAGCTGCCAACATACCCCTGAAGGGGCTACAAAAGGACCCTGCCTGGGCCTTCCAGGTCGGGGACTGTGGACGGCAGTGTCTGCACCTCGGCGAGCTCCTTTCAGGCTCCCCCGGTCTGGGCCTTTCCTGGCAATGCCTCTGCTTGCCCACAATGCATCAAGTGAACTCACTCTCAGACCCAGAGGCACCCTCCACTCAACGGCAAAGCCCTGCTCACCTAGCACAGGGAAGGACGTGGCTGGGCCTGTGGGTTCCTCTCCCTTACTCGGGAAACATGCTGCTGTTTGCCACTAGGAACATGAAAATCTGCTTTGCTTCACATCCCCATGACTAATGGCCTCCACGTCCCCAACTTCTATGGAAACATCCCACAAGAAAAGTGTGCGCTGGAGTCCTCCTTCTTCCCTCCCAGCAGCTCCTCTCCCACCAGCCAGCTCAGCCCAAGAGCCCGGACACTCTCTGGGCCTCACACTGGCCCCCCGCCCTGCACACCTGTCCTACCTTCTTCCCTAGCTCCCACCCTCCAATGGCCTCAGGATTTTCCAACACCTCTTTCTTCCTATCTTCTTTGGGCTCTTGCCCCTCTGTCCCCTCCCTAAATTCTGGGGTTCCCCAACTACATGCTCTGCCAAGGTTTCGGCCCAACATTCTTCCCCAGGCCCATGTGCCAACTGATCCCTAGCAATGTGGATAGGGATGTCCCATTAATACAGCCACCTTTTTACCAAGAGCAGGGCTGTCCCTGCTGGTCAGAGGTCCTGCAGCYTCTCCTCCAGGAAACGGACACCAGACGCCCTCTGACACCCACACGGCCCCCAGGCTCCCTCTGGCTCTGCTCGCATCACTCTGAACGCACCTCCCATCATCTCATCCCTCTCCATCCYGAGACCCTGCCAGAGGCACCATGGGAGATGACGCACAAGAGCACCRGGGGACCAAGCCACCAACTGTGTTCACGTCGACTTCAGAAAGAGAACGAGGCAAAGAAAGTACTGAGTCGATGATAGGAGAGAATTCCCCAGAACTGGCCAGGAGATGGGAGGAGGTTGAGGGAGGAACAGATGGTGGGACAGACAGCAAGAAGAACCAACCCAGGCACCTGCAGGGCTCGGAGGAGGTGACAAGAGGCATGGCCAAGGGCAGGGACCAGGTCACCAGGTAGAAGGGAGAAGGAGGGCAGCAGAAGGAAGATGTTAGTCGCCCAGGTCCTTGACCCCTGCCAACAACCCCAAGCAGTGGCCACCTCCCTGCTCCCTTCCTCCAGAAGATGGGAATTTTCTTAAGAAGTTGACTGAGGGGGGCTCCAGACAGMGGCAGGAAGGACGGCAAAGAGGAGCTGCCAAACGGGATTCAAGAGGCTCAGTGAGGCCTCAAACAYAGACCCCAGCAACCTCTCCCACCCAACAGAGGAACACATCGCCCTGTGGCCCACCAGGAAGAGACCGGAGGGATCTCATCTGGAGAAAACAAAAACATAAAAGCAGAAAATGAAGGTAAAGTTGAAATCTTCAGTAGGGACCAAATGCCAAATAGATAAAGACAGGAGGAAAGAATAAATAAAATTATGGGCTCMGTCCAGGGATTAGGGTCACCACTGGAAAAGAGACCAGAACCAGTTAGGTGGTCCCCCTGTGGTCCCAGCCACTGGGCAGCTGAAGAAGGAAGATCCCTGGAGCACAGAAGACCAAGACCAGCCTGGACACCATAGTGAGACCTGGTCTCAGGGAAGAAAGGAGAGGACAGAGGAGAGACAAGCCCCCCAAACAGAAGAAGCTAAAAAAAGAAAAAAAAAAAAAGTAGAAGCCATCATCTTAGCAAGGCAGGAGGCTGAGGCAGGAGGATTGTCAGTTCAAAGCCAGCCTCAGCAACGTGGCGAGGTCCTCAGCAACTTRGTGAGACCCTGTCTCAAAATAAATATAAAAAGTGCTGCAGATGCGGCTCAGTGATAATGCCCCCCTGGGTTCAATCCTTGGTATTGAAAAAAAAATAGAAATAATAGCCATAACATGAGAACATTTCCAAGAACTATAAATTTCCATATTAGGAGGCTTTACAAAGTGCCCACAAAATTCATGGACCATGTCCCTTCAAAGCCCCTGATCATACAGTTTTAGAATATTGGAACATAAAGCAGATYCTATACCATTCCAGAGGGGAAAAAAGCAAAACAAAACAACTTACACATAAAACACTGATGCTGAGAAGCAGGAGACGATGGAACAGGCTGAGGTGTGCTCCGCGCAGAGCACTCGCCGAGCATGAGCAAGGCCCCGGGTTTAATCTCGGGTACCACCATCACCCCACCAAAAGAAGAGGATGACCGTGGGACAATGTCCTCAAAACTCCAAACCTGAGCTTGGCCAGAAGGCCAAGAAGTGACTGTGCCTGCAAGATTCTCAGTGAGTTGCAACCTAGAATTCCTCCACATCAGTGAACTGGGAGAGACRGAAAAAACTAACAGTGTCACTCCACTGTCCTCACACCTCCAGCTGCCCAGGTCCCTTTCTCAGCTGTTGCTGTCTGTGTGCCACCAAAACAAGGGAATGATGTGGCAGAGGAGGAACCAGGTCCCGGAAACTGAAGCCTTTACCCTGTGGCACAAAGAGGGCAGAGGTGTGGAGCAGTGGTCAGAGAGCTGTCCCCAGGAAAGCCAGGCTACAGGGACAATCGAACAGCATCAAGCTGAACAATGCTGTGGGCCAGTGGGGAATGTGAACATTGGAAGAACAAAAAATGGTCCRAGAAGGAAAACGTAAGGCAGGCGCCTGTAATCCCAGCCACTGGGGAGGATGAGACAGGAGGATTGTAAAATTGAGACCAGCCTAAGCAAACAAGGGAGGCCCTCAGCAACTTAGTGAGACTCTATCTCAAAATAAAAAGGGTTGTCGATGTGGCTCAGTGGAAAAGCATCCCAGGTTCAATCTCCAGTACCAAAAAAAAAAGGAAACTATAATAGTAAGCAAGCACCTCTTTGCAAACAATAAGCAATAAATTYTTCATTGTAAAAATGTCACAAAGATCTAAGTAAGCAACCCCTGAGCTACCGCAGGAAGAAGTTGTATATAATAAAATAAAAAATAAAAAGAACTGGAGATGTAGCTCTATGTAGAACTCCCCATGTGGGGTGGGAGTGGGGGGACAAAGGTCACATCCCACAGGCTGCGGCCAGAAAGAATGCCCAAACCAGAGGCCAAGGAAAGTGCTGAGGGAAGAGAGAATGGCTCCTTATTATATCCATTTGTGAAGTGAGTGAATGTATTTGTTCCAAGGAGCCTATGTCACCAGAGAGTGTTTGCCTAGCCTGAGGCCCTGGGTTCATCCCAGCAGCACAGAAAGTAAATAAATAAATCCCTAAAAACATACTCAGTAATGAGATCAAATGACAGCATTAAACAAAAGAGATAAAAACAACCAATACCACAGGACCCCCAAAACTCTGTCAACTCTACCATACTATTAAAATGCAAAGTGCTGTTAGGTTGAAAGGCCAGGGCAAGTCACCCTCAGAGCTGTGATCATTAGAAACCTTGCTCCACCCCCACTCTCGGTGTGGTTTTCACAAATCTGTACCAGCTGCCTGGCAATCCCGGCCACAGAGAGACCGGCCCGCTGTGCTGTGCGTGTGCTGACTGACGGATGAATGAATGAAGACAGGGGCAGCCAAAGAACAAACACCTTGTTGGAGTTTTTTCTGAGGTCTGATACGACACAGATGCTGGTCTGTTTTCAAAGCTAGCGATAGCTCCCGAGCTCCCGCGCTAATTCAAGGAGGAAAGGCACTTGAGAGGAAAAAAAATGTCAACCATAAAGACACTGAATGGGAGGGAGGGGCTTTGGGAGCCAAGTGCGGATGTGACACCTGAAAGATACAGCAACCACGGGGGCCCCCACGGAGGGGGTGGGACATGTCACCCTCACAATTTTCTAAGTCCCCCGCATGTCCCACAATAAATGCAGAGTGTCAGGACCCTACTAAGCCAGGGGGCTGCTTTGCCTGCCGGCCAAGTGACAAAGCAGGGACCGGGAAGGCAGTGGCAAGCCAGTGCTGCTCCACTATTCGGTGCTTTGGAGAATAAAAGCCCCAGCAGGATGGGATGTGAGTCCAGCCCTCAAAGTCCATGGCCACGGCTGAGACTGCAGGGCCAGGGGACAGTCCTGCTGCCTGTGGAGCCCCCAGGAGCTGACCGCCTGAATACAGGAAGTGACAGCACACTGTGGTCCAGGCCTGATTCTAGGCGCTCGGATACCACAGGGAAGATGAAGCCGCACGACAGAGGGAAAGACAGAGCCAGGAAACCAACAAGCGATTATACAAGCTATCTGAAGTCAGGGAGTGCTGCATGAGTCAAGTCAAAGGAGGAAAAACAGACCCAACAAGGTTCTCTTTAAAATAACCCAGGCAAAAATCAAGATTTGCATCAACCCCACAACTGCCTCAGTTGACTACAGAGATAAACCCTCCCACGCCTCCCTGCTGGGCCAGATGTGATAAGTGTGATTGCGAAATTCAGTTAGGCCCAGTCCAGTGCCTGCGTCCTCCTCCACTTCTGAAAATAAGAGACTGTCTTACGCTGACTCCCTAGTTTTACTTCCTGTGCTGAAGGACACAGGAGAGAGACCTCACAGGCTGGAGTCAGGGACCCGGGTTTGCTTCCTGGTGCAACAAATTGGGTGGCCTTAGGTGAGCTGCTGCTTGACCTCTCAGACCACATCCCTGCACCTGTGAATGGGAGCAGTCCAGAGGCTCCAGGCAATGACCCACACCAAGCCCGGACACCCCAGGGTCACTGATGCCTCTGTCCTTCCCAACACCAGCTGCTTTCTTAGGCAGCTGGCAGGTAAAGGTGACATTCATGGTACTGAAGTAATCGCCTGGCACATTCCAGGCTTCAGCCTTCCAGAGTCTTAAGATGGGCATCAGGGATGGGGGCCTGGGGAGGGGCTGCCCTGTTGTATATGCCTCTCTCTAGGGTGTGGACAGGCAGTGCCACCTAATACCATACCTGCCCCATGGACACTGAAGTCCTACAGAGGCTTTCCAGGGCCTTGGCATGAGGAGATCTCCTTGCTGTGGCACCCAGATTCCCAGATGTGGCCACACCTGACCCCAGCCTCCTCTGCAAACAGAACCCTTCCACCTCCTTGTCATCTTACAGGGCTGGTCTTCCCATATGCTGTCCCGGCTCCTTGGGGACACTATCCCCCACCCCCAGCCCCCAATTCAGGACTCAGCTTTGAGTCACTTCCCCSTGAGGGGCCCCACTGGCCACCCACTGCCTGGGCTCCCACAGGCCCCCCACTTCCCATTTCTATTCTCACCACACTTGCAAGGTCTACTCCCCAAAGCAGCTCACCCCTGAGGTGTCTCCAGGGCTTCTCAGGATGCCTGATGCTGAGCGGGTGCTGCCCACAGTCGCGGTGACTTCAACTGAACAGACGAACACAGAGCAGACGTGCAGGCCATTTGCCTGGGTGACCTGAGCACTGGTTCAAGTCTAGCTTTGCCATGGCACCGGGGGGGGGGGGGGACCTCAGCTTCCTGGTCTACACTGCAGGTGAGCTGGCCCTAACACTCTAAGAACAATGGGCATCTATCAGCCCTGACACCGAGCTATGAGGTTGGGTACATCTGTTGCACAGGTCAGCAGGTACTGCTGGCCCTGGGCCCTGTCCTGGGTGTGGGGGACAAAGGGGAACCAGGAGTACTCCTGCCCTGAAGAACTCCAGCCCCGAATCTTACCTGTCCCCTCATCTCTCACGTCCCCCTGCGGCCTTCACCACCTACGACGCTCCAGTCAGAGTCGTCCAGAGGAAGAAGATACCAGGAGAAACAAAGGCCCTGCCCAGTGGGCAATTTGTCTTAGAATCTGTCCTCGTCGCTCCAGAGAAGGAGGTGGGGAGGGAAGGCCACGATGCTCCCTCTTGGGGAAAACGTATCTGAGCCTGGAAGAGCTCAGAACAAACCAGCGTTGGGCATTTTCCAAGCGGTGGACCGCGGACAATGGCAGCTGGCCCCCTGAATTCAGGCTTTTGGAGATGGAGACTCCATCCCTGGCAGCCCACAAGCCACATCTGTCTGTGAAGATGTTTTGTTGGGCAAGCAAGGTTTTAAATTTTTAAAAAATGAGTTCAAATATTTAAAAGTCGGATGATTTCACATTAAGACCCCGAATGGCCAGCTTCTCTGGAAAACCAGCTGCAGGGGTGGACAAGAGGGAGAAGGAGCTTGGGACAAAAGGCCCCACAGGACCCTGGGACAAAGAGTAAGCAAGCCAACACCTGAGCACCCCATCATCGGGCTCATGGGGACAGAACAGAGGAAACCCTGCCAGCCACAAGCCCCACACAGGCAGCCCGGGCCCCACATCTGCAAGCCAGCAGCCTCACGGAGCTGGTAGCCCTGTAAACCAGGTCTCATCCCCACCGATCTAAGGCCTCCCTCTTAACCTCACCCACCTCCTTTACACCCAGCCTTCAATGGCAGAAAATGCAGCCAACATGGGGAATTAAAGGCTACCTCCAATAAAGAACACACATCTACTAGGAGAACCATCAGACACTCTCGTGCGGGGTGTCTACCAACTACAAAGCACTTATAAAGATATACTAAATAATTGACAATCCATCTGATGAACGCTGTGCTTTTATCACTACTCATCTGCTGATCGTTTTACTATGTCCAAAAATGCCAACGTGGCAAACTCTGGGGAAGCATCCTCATGACTTATTCATGAAGAGAAAGATCGCACACAATGGCAAACGCTAAAGGACATAAATCATTATTTTTACTCTAAATATTGGCCCATTTGGACAGCTCCATTGAAACATGGATTGACTCTCTTTTTCAAATTATTAATATTTGATCAACATAAAATACCTAATCAGAAGCTTAAATTTTCCCCCCAGTCTAATATAAATCAGGCTTCTTTAGGCAATTTCAAAATCTATGAAGCAAGCAGCTATAACTAGATAAGAAAAGGGAAACACATGATCAAGAAAATGATCACAAGGTAGAAAGAAATACCTGCTTCTTATCTTGCAATTTCTTAAAATCTTCACATGCTAGCCAGAACAAAACATTTTCTTCACTGAATTCCTTTTTCAAAAATTCCTATGAATCAAAAGGAAAAAAATATCATACAGTATTCTACTTAAAAAGAAAAGAAAAAGATGCATTTTCCTTCAAGAAATGATTTGGCAAAAATTCAACAGATGAGGCTGGTTCAATTACCCTTTGAGAACTCCACCCTGAAAATAAAGAGCATGTTTAATGTTAAAGCTAGAATTTCATATGCATTTGACCTTAATGGCTTTGACACTGTAGAGAACAATAAAAATGAAGCAGGACTCTACTTGCATTTCTTAGCTGACAATAAATTACCAAAAAGTAAATTAAAGTGGGAAATGTATTAGTTCCTTCCAGCCACTGTTTAAACAAAGTACATTCCTACAAAACCAGGCCCATTTTTTTTTTAAACAAAAGAAAAGAAAACATATTAAGCATGTCTAAAACACTACAATAACGGCTATTTTAAGTTGGAGGTGTGTTTTCTTTCGGCAGCGGTTGGGAAGTTGGTGCGTGGACAGCATTTCGGCCGGGTGGAGGCTTCCCTGACATCTAGATGATGCTCAGTGGCTTGGTATCTGGGACCCAGGAGCCTTGGCGCAACCTGCCACTCCTCTCCCCCTGACAGGGACCCACAGCATCCTGGCCCCACACCTCAAAGACAGACGTTGCTGAGGTTCATTCTCAAAATTCCCATGTGGTCCTCCAACAGGCAGCTGGAGGTCTGCTGGCTGAAAACGTCAGTTCTAGGTGGCACCGACAATACCCCATCCATCTGCCTCCTCTTGGAGGTTCTCTTCTCCAAAGACACTATTGTCTCTATTGACATTTCAGAGAGACCTAGGCCACACCTCCCAGGCAGCCCAGAGATGGAAATTCTCCATACAGACTCCACCCCTGGGCTCAGTACCTTCTCCCCATCGCCTCCCACCCCACGAAAACCAGGGACAGACCAGCTGCCCCTCGGTGTCACGCCCTGGCTATCTGTGAGAGCACTGTCAACATGACCACGACAGATGGGAAGTTCTGACTCTCCAGTTGGGACAGTGTTCAAGATCGGCCTGTTTCCCCCCAAAGCCCTCTAAACCTCATGTGTCACATCGATCCCAGTTAACAATGAGGAAGGCGAACCCGGAATCTCTTCACGCCTTCTGGGTCTTCCAGCAGACTCTCCAGGGAGGTTGCCCACTTGGCTGTGGTCTTGAGGCTCTGGTGGCTGCTGCTGGAACTGCCATCACTGTCATGGATGTCTGCAAAGCAAAGTTCAGACCACGGTCAGGGGCCCAAGGACACTGCTGTTCATCTGCACACGGTGGTCACCCTCGCCGCCCCAGCCCACAGATGTTAAGCTKCACGCCAGGCTCTGTTAGGCGCCTGACGTAATGACTCCCTCCAGTGAGACAGGCGCTAGTACTTCCCGTATTGTGCACATAGGAAAACCGAGGCGCAGCAGATGAGGGGCTTGCCACTTTCTGACACGTCCACCGGCCAGCTCACAGGCATTCCTAAAGTCTCACTCCAGCTGCCTCCCCTACCAGAACCCGGGCTCCCCAGCACTCCTCCCCGACCTGCTGCAGGCAGCCATCGTGACTGTGCAGAGCGGTGACTATTCGCAGGACTGACTCCCGCTAATCTGAAAATTCCTGYCCGTCATCATCGTATCTATTTGCCAGCTCCTACCTTGTTGCCTGGCATAGAAAACCATGGAGCAGAAAGGACCAGGACCAGTGTAAGGATGCAAAATCAAAGGGGTTGCCAAAGTACTCAGAAATCAAGGTAAATAAACTGGGGATTGAACCCAGGGGCACTTTAAGACTAAGCCACATCCCCAACCCTTTTAAGGTTTTATTTTGAGAAAGGGTCTCACTAAGTTGGCAAGTCTGTCCTTGAACTTGTGATCCTCCTGCCTTGGCCTCTCTAGTTGTTGGGGTTATCAGGTATGTGCTACCGAACCCAGCTTCATTCGATTTCTTTAAAATTAATCAAAAAAACATATGATGAACAGAATACCAAAGTTTAAACCAAGACAGGATCATTCTTCTGATTTTCCATTTAGACTCAACTTCCAGGACGGCTCAGCATCCCACTGTTACATACTGGTCTTTGTTTAAACTTTTGATATTTGGTTCATCATGAATATTTTTATGTAATTTTAATATTTTAAAACACTATATTAACTATCGATTCCCTTGAGGCCTGAACTTTCAGTGCATAGCGTGAATGGGTGACGACTCTGCGTCCCAACATCTCTCACCGACCAACCAACACAAGACATTGAAATCTTGTCTTTCTTGTCTTTTTTTAGGGTTGGGGCTGGAACTCAGGGCCTGGCAAATGCTAAGCAAGTGTTCTACCACTGAGCTACGTTCCCAGCCTTTAATATCCCCTTGACCAAAGGAAAGAGGACAAGGGATCTCCACTAAGGCACTGAGGCCAGTGCAGGAGGAAGCGACAGCACAGACACGTCTCCTTCTACAGGATCCAGACTCAAGGAAAAGCCACTGAGAAGTCACTCTGGTTGGACTCAGATCCAAAACCCAGCTTGGCAATCCAAACTATAAGACCTTGGGCAAAATTCTGAGAGAGTATACCCCTGACCTCTAGGGTGACCCTAAGGATTCAAAAAGGAAGCTCTAACAGCATGTTTCACAATGGCTAGTGGAGAGGATTTTGAATGCTCTCCAAAGAAATGATAAATGTTTGAGGTGGCAGATATACCAACGACCTGATCTCATCATTACCCACTGTATTGAAATGCTACATGGCACCCTGTACAATTATGTGTCAATTGGGGAAGTGTATCAGGGACCTGGGAACATACTTGGGCCACAACAAGCTCTGAACAAGTGTTAGTTCCTTTCTCCCTTCCCTGAGATAATGACCGTAATACTTTTTCCCTAATGACTTTTTTTTTTTAACAAGAAACATGTTTTTATAAGCAAAGTTTAAATCTAGTAGAAAATAAACTTTTAATTAAGAAATCAATGAAGCAAAATTTTAAACAATAAGTACTCATCCAAAAAAGGAACAAATAAAGAAAACCACTTTAAAGGATTAATGAAGTCTTATAAATATGAATTGCTACAAATAGCTATTCCACTAGAAATCTTCTTGACCATTCCACTAAAAATCTTCTCGAAGCAGGGCGCGGTGGTACACGCCTGTAATCCCAGGGACTCGGGAGGCTGAAGCAAGAGGATCTCAAGTTCGAAACCAGCCTTGGCAATTTAGCAAGGCCCTAAGCAACTTAGTGAGATCCTGTCTCAAAATAAAAAGTAAAAAAAGGCTAAGGATGTGGCTCAATGGTTAAGCGCTCCTGGGTTCAATCCCCAATACAAAAAAAAAAATGTTTTTTGAAGAAAATTCTTATCAAAACACACTGGGTTTAATAGAAGCAGCTTCAAGAATACCTGATGTTCTGTTAGAGTGGAAAATATACACATTAACTGCTTAATCCACTAAGACTCCACCTCCTAGCCCCTTAGGCTGAATAAAATAAAACAGAAGTACAAATCCAGCCGGGACTGTGTTTCAATATGCAGTGGTGATGGAGTACCTAAGAGAGGAATCTATTATTGGGAACAAATCCATTCCTCTAATGAGAAGAGAAGTCACTGGGCCACATCACCAAACAGACCTGATGGTTTTCTAAAGTGCCCCAGCCAGTATGTGGATATGAAATGAGCTCCTTGCTCTCTTTGTCCCTGCTGGGATGGCAAGCTCCTGAACAGAGCGTCTTCCCAAATTTCAAATTCAAAGATCATCATTAAGAGAAATTTCTGCATCAGTTCATTCTGCCAAGCATCCCACTCACTCACTCTTCTGCTCTTTGCCCAGAGAACACAGTCTGACGGTTCACTCCACTTCCCCAGCAGATCCTCTCTTAAGTAAATAAACCCAGACACACAGGATGCCGTTCCAGGAACCACCTCAGGCTGCCCCTGCCATTGCAGAACTACTACTGGGGCTGGGAGTTTTCAACTTTGGTCTGAAAGGATTCCAAAACCTTGACATTCTTTTCTATAAGAATCCAAACCACAGGGGTTTTCGCTGCAACACTATCTTGAATATCAATATACACATGGATTCCCATTTGCCAACAGGGAGCCAGGAGAGCTAAGACAGCTAGCCACAGGGCCACAGTGGCTGACACCACTTTCATTCAGAGGTGATCAAACCTAATATGCTAATCATTTTTGCACATTAGGATTCTACATCAGCTTTCCTTTGAGCTAAAAATCTTATAAACTCAAAACCCACTCATTTGGTCTCACCCTTTATAGACTGGGTATCAAAAGTCCAGAGGGGAAATGACCTGTCCCAGGGGACCTGGCTAAGGAACTGAAGGTCAGAATCAGCACTGGGAGCTCCACCTAAGGGAAACTGCCCCTAGCAGGATCACCTCCATGGGGCTGCAGGGTCCCTTAGGACATAGACAACAGATGGGCCCTCTATTTGATTCTCTCTTGAACTCCTATTCCTGCATCAAGAATAAGGAAATAACATCCACAGTTGATACCATCACAGAAGAGCATGGAATTTTTAGGAATGGAGTAGAAAGCACACCAATGGGAAGCTTCTCTCAGTAGCCATGTTACTGGTTTCCTGGCTTTGGCATCCTGGATAAAGAGAAAGTCCTTCTTGCCTTCTGCTCACTTTCTGCCCCAGAGCTGCCCAATAGGTGTCTCCTACTCCCTAACTATCTATCATGTTTTCACTTTGCCCAGAAATATTGGTCTGAATTTTTCCTAGACTTCCAGATTGGCTTTCAAGGTTTTGGGGTTTTTTTTTTAATTTATTTTTTTTTTAGTTGTTGATGGACACCATACCATTATTTTATTTATTCATTTTTTATTGGGTGCTGAGTATCAAACCCAGTGCCTCACACCTGCTAAGCAAGCGCTCTACCGCTGAGCCACAACCCAGCCCTCCCCCGCCCCACTCTTAAGTTTTATTAATGCTTTTGGCTGTGTTCCCCTCCTCTTTAAATCCTTCTCSATTGGTATCAGTATAGACAGATCTTGATAGAGCAGCATTTGCAAAGGCCATCCACTTTTTGGCGTCTGTTAGTCTATTTTTCATAACTGCAGTGAAATATCTGTGGCAGGTTAATTTATAAAGAAAAGCAGTCTACTTGGGCTCATGGTTCTGGAAGTACAAGGCTGAGAGTCATGGCCATTTTGCCAGCAGAATCCTGAGATATCAAGGCATCACAGGCGAGAGATAGGGAGCACACATGTGTGTGTCTCTGCTAGTTTTTCTTCTTTCTTTTCTTAGAAAGCCAAAAGGATTCAATCCAGGGGCTCCACCCTGATGACCTTATTTAATCATAACACCTCCCAACAGCCCCACCTCTAAACACCATAGTCCAGTACATTTCCACCTTCTTTTTTTTAAATTTTGTGGTACTGGGGATTGAACCCAGGAGTGCTTTWCCACTGAGTCACAGCCCCAGCCCTTTTTATATTATTTTTTTAATTTTGAGACAGGGTCTCACTAAGTTGCTTGGGGCCTCACTAAATTGCTGAGGCTGGCCGTGAATTTGCAATCCTCCTGTCTCAGCATCCCGAGTTGCTGGGATTACAGGTGTTTGCCATTGTGCCCAGCCAGCTCAGTTTCCACCTCCTTAATACATCCCAACGGGGATTAAATTTCAACAAATGAACTCTAAAGGACACATTCACACCATCCAAATCAAATGTCTCTCTTTTCCAAGTCACTATCCCCAGCCTCAATCCAGTCCATCTGACACTGCCCTAGAGATCGCCCCGAACCCAGGACATCTGTCACTTGGGGTCCACTCCTCAGACTTCCTCTATCTTCAGAAGTGCACCAAGTCAGGGATTCCTGAGCCTCCCGGGTTCACTTTAAAGGTGATTTTCAGTCCAGCAATGTACAGGAGAAATAAATAACCCTGCTCAACAGCAAGCAGGTTACTTCTGAGCTGAGCAATAAGACAATACCAAGATTTCACTGCCGCCCAATTTCTGGCCTTCAGATCCAGAAATTTCCAATACTCTTTTATCCTTTTTCATTGGTAAAAAGTTCCTTTCGTTGATTATACAAGAAAGCAGGTTTGCAATGCATACATAGTAAAAAAGTTAGCCATGTTCTCCTAACAGCTTTATGATCTCTCATGCTAATGATGAGCCATTTGTCATAGAATTTGTTTCAATTTCGTCATATTCCGTTTATTTTGTTTTGTTTTTAGTCCAGTTGTAAAACATTTGCAATGAACAAAAGTTTTTGAGTTCTATGGGTTTTCTATTTTACCTCCTAGGCTCTTTAAAGCACTTCAGATCTTCTAATTTTTGCATGCAAAATACTAATTTTTCAGTAAATTTATCTTCAGATTAATCTGTCATTAGTGGATAACATTTAAAGCTTGGAAGTTGTTTACAACATGTCAGGTTCTGTGCTGAGCTTTTTACCATGGGTCAAATCATTCAGTTCTCCCTAAAACATTCATGAGGTTAACAGCATTAACACTTTGTAAATGAAGAAACAGAGGCACAGGAATTTTCAAGTCTCACTCAGCTAGGAAATGGGAAATCATACTCCAAAGCCAGGCAGCCTGGCTCTAGGGTACCTGCTCTTTCCCACAAGGCTCCATAACTTTATTTGTAATTTTTTTTGAGGTACCAGGAATTAAACCCAGAACCTTGCACATACTAGATAAGTGCTCTACCACTGACCTACACCTCCAGCCCTTTCTAATTTTTTTTAACTTTATTTTGAAACAGGGTCTTGCTAAATTGCCCAGGCTGCCCTGGAACTTAGGATCTTTCTATGTTCCTGCCTTAGTCTCCCTAGTAGCAAATTATAGATGTGTACCAGTGTGCCCGGCTATTTTTGGTTTTGATTTCTGCTGATCTTCACACTAAGAAAGGCCTGAATGCGGGTCTGGGGATGTGGCTCAAGCGGTAGCGCGCTCGCCAGGCATGCGTGCGGCCCAGGTTCAATCCTCAGCACCACATACAAACAAAGATGTTGTGTCTGCCGAAAACTAAATAAATAAATAAATATTTAAAAAGTTCTCTCTCTCCCTCTCTCTATCTCTCTTTAAAAAGAAAGAAAGAAAGAAAGAAAGAAAGAAAGAAAGAAAGAAAGGCAGGCCAGAATGCAATAGTCTTCAAAAGGCTTAAAACAAGTACACTGGGGAAAAGTCTGAGAAAGCTAGGTCCAATTCCATGGAGGGGAAAAAAAAAAATCTTATAAGACTAGAGTGGAATCCTCTATCACATAAACACAATGTACACACGTTTGCCTTTTACATTTATGTTGTTCTCTGTGGCTTATGACTTCAGTAAAAGCCACTTTTTTTCAGAGATTGGTGTAGCACCTGCAGGTGCCTGGGGCAGGTTGCTTGCAGCCTATTTCATAATGCATTATTTATAGATGCTATGATGTCACATCTGAGACTTTCTCCAGATATTAATTCCCTAGAAATCCATACTCAAAAGGCATCTGCAACACTCAGCAGAGCTGAATGCTTCCAGTTTGGATTTCTGCTATTAACCTGCATGATTTCCACAAATATTTTAGTGTGATCTCAATATTCAACTTCCTCAACAGCAGAGGCAACTTGCATTCTCAAAGGATCTGTCCTAAATATCCCCTAAATTCACAGCATATTAAAGAAAACAAAGTAAACATTCAAGTCAAGCAGAAGGCAGAGATGTTAACCCTCCATTCCAAAGTGGTTTGGTACAACACATACCGTCCATGCTCCTTTCCAACACTCTCTACTGTGAAATGAAGTTTCAAGGCAAGTACACACTCCACAAAACTAATTTTAAAACCTCACATCACCTATACCACATCAAACACAGTACATTAAAAAAAAAATCATCCCAATTTAGAATCAGAGAGTCGTTTGTTATAGCTGGTGATCTCCTAAGCCTCCCTCGAAACTGGGTCATGGAAAGACTGTATCTAAATATGACTTAAGTGATTATCACACCAGTATCTAGCTTCTGAGAACTACCTTAGAGATATACAATGCCCCGGGAGCTGGGGGGCGGGGAGGATTGAAGTGAACTACAGTTAGCAGAAAATTATAATCAAAGTGAAAAAGTTTTAAAATAATCATGACCGCCAGCACCTGAGACAGGAACCCCAGCACAGGCTGCAGAGGGTTGGCTATACTTAGACAGGTGCTTGGGCCTCAAAGTCAAGTGCTCACACTGCCCTTCAGAGATCACCTGTGCACCTGTGACTGCAAGCACACACACACCCCAGCCTCTGCCCCGCCCAGGGCCAGGGACAAGGCCACGGGTAAAAAAAAATAAAAAATAAAAAATAAAAAATTTWAAAAAAGGCTGAGAACATCTCCTGAAGGGGCGGGGGCCATTCCTTACGTTCCATGCTCTGGGGTCCACCGGAGAAGTTCCACGCAGACCAGAAGCCCTCTGCCTTCTCAGAGCTGTTTTGAGAGAGAAAGACAGGGCTGCCCGGCTCTGGAGCACCCAGGGTCCAAATAAAAAACCAGCYTCAACATCCTCTTTTGAGCGGACCAAACAACAGATGGCCACTGGTTTCCAGTATCCACCAGAGGGAAGGAAACAAGGACGCCGAACTGTTATTTGCAGCCACCCAAGAATCCCCACTTTTCCGGCAGAGGCCCAGAACAAGAAAATGATCATCTCCATATTCATTCTCTAATGACCCAGAGGCCCTGTCCTGGGGCTGAAAATGAAGACCCTGGCATTGATTTTCTTCTCTTCCCAGAAGCCCCCCTGCTTCCTCTGGGGCCTGACATGAATGTACAAATGTACCTTCCCCCTCCCCACTCCTCCTCCTTCTCYTTGCTCTGGCTTCAAGTCAAGGTGAGTGACACTGGGGCTGGGGGTGTGGCTCAGTGATACAGTGCTGGCCTAGCACACATGAGGTCCTGGCTTCCACCACCAGCACCAAAAAGGAAAAAGAAAAAAAAAGGTAATTTAATTTTAAAAAACAAGGTAAGTGACTTTTTCCCCTCTCTAGAACCAGAAAGAAAGACCACACCATTTCTTAAGAGCAAGAGCTATGTYTTCCTCAGGGTCAGCCTGGTATCTGGCCCTCATGTATATAAATTATAAACAATCAAGATTTCCTAGGGATTGAGCAAAGCTAGGTACTGAGCAGAAGATGGCAGCTAATAAAAACAGCGGACTTAGGTTCCCTAAGCATTTCCTGTATGTAACCCTCCAAACTGCATATTACCTGGAGGTTGGTCCCATCATTGGGCCCATTTTACAGAAAAAGAAACTGAGGCACCAGAGGTGAAATAACTTGCTACAAAGAAGCAAGCAAGGAAGTGGAGGAGCTGGGTTTCCACCCAGGCTGGCTGGCTGGAGAGCCAGGAGAGCCCAGGAAATGCCAGAAAGGAAAGGCAGCATTCTTTCACTCATGGATCTTACTATGAATTCAGAAGATGTGGCCAGGAGTTCCAAGATGGAAGGGGARGGAGGGAGAAAATGATCATCCCCATATTCATTCTCTAAGTATATTTTAACATGGTGACTGAACGACTGAATGTGCCCAGACTTGAGTCGAGTGTCCTGGTCTGCCCTTCTGAAAGGGTGGCTCTGGAAACTCCCGGGCCCCGTAGTGGCCTCTGCAGCTCTGCAGGAGTTCCTGCACTGTCAGGTACAGAGGACAGGGAAGTGACAGGTTCTAGAGCAGGGAGACCCAGGTTTGGGGACAGGACAGGGGACATCTTTGGGTGACAAAGGCACAGAAGTAGAACTGTCCAGTCCCCCCAGGGACAGAGTGGGGACTGGGGAAAACAAGGCTGGGAGGGAAGGCTAGCCAGAATGAGGGTCCCCAGGCACCAGGCATAGTGTCAACAAGGTTTCCTAAGCACTTAGCAGGCCCTCCAGAGATGGAAACTGGCCTGAGAGGGAAATTTGTCCCTGAAAGTCTGCAGGGGACTGTTCCACTCTAGCAGACACCTCCTGACAGCTCTTATCAAGGGGCTGCTGCTGCTGCCTGCCTGGGCCCCTGCTCCCACTGCCATCCCAGAGCTGCTGTAGTGGACAGCTATCTGGGGGAAGCACAAGACACTCATGAGAGTATATTTAGCACAGTTCAAACAGCAAGTCCCCAAAGCCCAGTGTCAGGGGGGCCAAAGGGATTACTCAGCCTGGAGAGAGAAGGGGCTTGTTCACCTAGGAAGCACTAGAGAATGGCCAAGCCAGGCACCTGCCTAGGTGTCCAAGTTTTCTACCAGTGAGAGAAGGACACATAAGATCAAACACAGATCAAAGTAGCCAATAAAGCACCATTAGCGTCAGGCTCATGGGTCTGCAGGCTGCTCTCAGTGGGGGGTCAGAGCTGGTTCCACRGACTTAGCTGGCTCCTGCACTGACCTCACCTGGACAAAATATCACCCTCATCCTGACCTTGCTGTACCAGCAGGCCAGACCTTGATCTCCTTGAACCCCCAGGCCCAGTCAGTATGGTTCTCCAGGGAAAGCTCCCCAGCTGCCAAGATGCTTCACTGCTGAGTTGCTAAAACAAAGACATTAAATTGTTACAAATACTGTCATCTTTAAATAAAAAYGTAAGCCCAGCAATAAATCTCAAACTGTTCCCAAGGGTTTAATGGGATAATGTATAACAGGCCTGGGTGGCCTGCCTGGCAGGGTGGGAATTACTCTGACACAAATCAGGGTAACCTCAGCTTTGCTTCTCAGGTGGGCACACCCCAGTAATCAACAATACAAATTCTTGTGAGGGGCAGGACAAGAGGACAGAATCCTTTGAGGGGTCCTCACATTTCAGCGGCTTAAAAAGTCAACTGGGGTGCTTGCTGAAAGTGTAGTCTACTTTCCCTGCCTCACCCCAGTCCCCAAGATTGGACTGATAAGTCTGCAAAGCTGACTTTTACCAAGACCCCTTCATTCCCACCCAGTTGGTAGAACACACTTTGAGAAACTTCTGAAAAGAGACTAAGGGAATCCTACTTTGGGTCTTAGAATTAGGGGCTAGGACCTCAAAACCCTCAGCTTAAAGACATCATGTCTAATAAGACTTTGCTGAGCCTGGCATTTTGGCACATGCCTGTAATCCCAACAACCAAGGAGGCTGAGGAAGGAGGATGGCAAGTTCAAAGCCAGCCTCAGAACTCAGAAACTTAGCAAGGTCCTAAGCAACTTAGTGAAACTGTCTCAAAATACAAAATATTTAAGGGCTGAGGATGTGGCTCAGTGGTAAAGCACCCCTGGGTTCAATTCCCAGTACCAAAAAAAAAAAAAAAAAAAAAAAGACTTTGCTGAAAAGCAAGAAAGGTCTAACTAAAGATGCTTGGGAGGCAGGACTATAGCCAGGTCCAAATCAGGGGTTCTGCAGGGGTGGATCCAACTTTTGTGGGGTCTGAGCTTATACAATTCAGAGAGCCTCTTTAAGAAAAATAATTCAAAATTACCCCCCAAAATCAGYTCAGGGTCCAGGTGGGCGTGTTGGGGCATACCTGTAATCCCAGCATCTTGGGAGGCTGAGACAGGAGGATTGTGAGTTCAAAGCCAGCCTCAGCAAAAAGCAAGGTGCTAAGCAACTCAGTGAGACCCTGTCTCTAAATAAAATATAAAATTGGGCAGCAGATGTGGTTCAGTGGTCAAGTGCTCCTGAGTTCAATCCCGGGTATAAAAGAAAAGTCAGTTCAGGGTCCAGCAGATCACTTGGCTGGCTTCCCAGTACCTCCTGCAGGTCCTCATTCCTGCTTTCTCACTAGGCTCCTTCTTTTCCTGATGTTGGGGGGTGGCCAAACTGGAGGGGCTCATGTCCTTCCCCATGAGGGGTGAAGACTTCAAACCTAAACTTCTAAGAACATCAGGCAGTTGGAGGCCAGGTATCCATGTCAACCCCTGATGGTTAGCTGCTGACCTTTCTATCATCAACCACACTTTGATGGGCTTCAGTTGGGCTTCATTGTACCTGCTCCAGATTGCTAAATCTGCCTTCAGTCTTTTTGGAGTCAACCTGGCCACATGCAAAACACAATGAATTCACATATCTCCCATGATTCAACGGTTCTATTTTCAAGTCTTCAACCCAAATGCAACCCAAATCAATGAACAACCCACTCGGGGATATTCACAGCAGCTCATTTATAGCAGGAAAAGAGAAAAGACAGAAACTCATAACTATTACACATTTATCATGTTCTCAGCATTGTCCCAGGGGCTTCACATGTTTTAGCATATATAAGCCCACAGTTTTATGAAATCCACTTTCCAGATGGGGAAAATGACCCAGAAGTATGCTGGTGTATCAACTCTCCAAGGAGGAAAAAAAAAAAAAAGCCTTGATTTTTAGCATTTGCTTATTTTCATAATGTAAATATCCCGCCGCAGCTAATTTCAAGTAACCTATGGTGTAGCAATTCGTTCCTATATTTTCTGAATATTTAGTAATTGGCCCTTGCAAGCCAGTTTCAGCTGGCTACAGCACATCCTTGAAATTGCAACACGGGAGGTCTAGCGACTTAGCTCAAAGTTGATGAATGATAGTCTGGGTTAGAAATAGGAGTTTAACTTTGGAATTCAGGCTCTGATCACTACTCCATGGGCCTATGCTGACAATAGGGAATGACTACCATCAACACCCACAAGGGAATCCTTWGGCTCACATGCAACACTGAAAGACTTTACATTACCACTAACACTAATGGAGCACTTAGAATGTGCTGGGCAACAATGTAAGATCTTTACAATAACCCTCTGAAGTCCAATTTTTTTTTTTAATACTGAGGATTTAACCCAGGGATGCTTCATCACTGAGCTACATCCCCAGTCCTTTTTAATTGTGAGACAGGGTCTTATTGGCCTAGAACTTGTAATCCTCCTGTCTCAGCCTCCCCAGTCACTGGGATTACAAGTGTGCACCACCACCCCKGCTATGAAGTCTAATTTTATTACAGTCATCCTAAATACTAAATGCTGTGATCTGCATAATTTGATTGGGGGCACATGCTTAAGGAGAGGGGCAGCTCCGATTATTTCTATTTTGCAGTTTCTGATTCTGCACAAAGTGGTTGCACAGCTATGAATTGRTAGAGGTGGGGGTGGGATACCAACCCTGCCATTCTGGTTCCAATGTCTTCTCTTGTAACTACATACAATGTTAGGTAAAAASAGGAAACGGACCAACATGCACAGACTCCCAGAAGTATGCAGAAGTGAACCTGGAAATGAGCAATGCAGGAAAACCTGTGAACTCCTGAGCATGGGAGTCAGACAAGCCTGGGTTTGGAAGATCTCCATCACCTAAGTGTGAAGTGAGGCACGTTACCTAACACTCCTGGCTTCAGTTCCCCCTCTCATGGGGCTGTTCTAAGGGTAAAAGGAGAAGCCACAGAAGGTAGTGGACATAGCCTCTGGCCCACAGTAAGCGCTCAGAGGGTCCTAGCTATTGATATGAATCAAAAGAATAAAAGGACTGAATGAGGGGCA